ATCGTGCCCAAGGAGAGTTAGTCCGCGTTCTTTAGTTCTACGAGAGCAACTGAGTTGAAGTGATGATGTGGTCTAGAGTGGAGAGGAATTCTGTAAATGAGAGTGTGTATTGTTGTGGGCGTTGGGTGATCCTGTCCTGTCAATGTAGTACATGGTATGAGTAGCTTACTGAATGATTGCAGTCTATTGTGCACCTTTGCGGCTTTCCTGAAATCCTGAACTCAAGGATGGGCAAAGAATTAGTATGCAGGCTCACTCCCTCATCCACATTTGTAGTGTCATTGGTTTACACACATGTATAGGACAAAAACAACCTCATTTAAACCGAATCCACTGGGGATCGAACCCAGAATCTCTGGTTCCGTAGACCAGCGCCTTATCCATTGGGCCATGGAGTCACGGCCTAAGGTGTCGGTTGTAATATTAAAGCATATTTTTTTACTTTATCCCACGGAGTGTTACCCAACTTCTGTTCGTATCATGTGAAAAATCAAGGTAGGGATAACTCTATAAGCTTCACACCTCCAACCTCCAAAGCAGCAGCTCATTCCAGGAGTCTGGAACCCCTGGCAAGCAATAGTGTAAGCAATCAGGGTGACTACCTGGAGTGTACACTCCAGGATGCCCATCCTGTCTTGATAAAGTCAAGTTGTGCATGTCTAAAAGGGAGATATGTGCCCCGACCATATGCTGCGGCTGCTGCGGAAGCTTGTTTGTGGCTGCAACTCCAGCTCCTGCTGATCGCCTTCGCTGCACCGCTATAGAGTGCTGGACAACTTCTTTTAGCATCACATTTCGTTCCTGAATAGGCGGCGCTCTGGCATGACCCAAACCATCCAAATCGCTGGGAGAAATCGGTCGAACGGATGGGCAGGACTGGTTCGCGCCTTTATGCGAAGGCATCGTTGTAGTCACAATCACATGCTTGCCTGTGAAGGGTGGCTCCAGGAAAGCAGCCAGTGTCGAGTTGAGAGCGGTGCGGTAGGATATGAGTATGTCGGTGTGACTGTATGGAGGAGCGAGTGTGATGTTATAGAAGCCGAGCTGCGACGTGGTCCACCAGAGTCCTGCGAGACAGGGAGCATGGGAGTCACGAAATGGTAGAACAAGAAAAGTGTATGGATTAGGAAGGCACATGTGTCAAGCAGTTGGTGGGAAGATAAGCGTGCGGAGGTTAGAGTGTGGTGATGCTGTGTACTCGGAGGTGAATGGTGATCCACCAATGACAGTGTGAGGCAGAGAGCGAAAGGGTGACTTACCCGAATTGATCACAAAGACATCAAAGTTTGCAGATTGGTCCATCCACCCCTTGGCGGGTTGGTCCACGTGGATGGTTCCCCCATCTGACACGTATCTCTTGTTCCATGCCACGTGAGACAAAAACTGGTGGCTGAGAGTGACAAAGACAGAGCATCGGTTGGTGTGAACAAGGGGGGAAGGGAAGAAGGGCAAGGGGCAAGCAGGGTGTTTAGCGTGCAAGGGATGGGGGCGGATGGGGGAGTGTGGGGGATGATGAGGGAGGGTGGGGGGAGTGAAGACGGAGGAACTAAGGACGATAGTAAGAGGGTGATTAGAACGAATTCCTTATAGGAAGGTGTCTCGGAAAAGAATCAGATGCTGATTGTGGCTTGATGGCGTAACGCGGTCAGAGAGCGGTTTGGTAGATAGTGGTGGGAAGGTAGAGGTGGGTAGAAAAGCAAGGGTGAGGTTGACAGGTGGAAAGGGGAAGTGGAACTGGAGGGACGAGTGGAGAGGAAGTAAGGTAAACGGGAAAAGGAAAATGCGAGTTTCCAGGAACATTTGCACGAGGATACTACCAGTGACAAGGACAGATGAGAATATTCTGGGGAATTGCTGCGCAGTGCTGTTTTGAGACGTCTCAAAACAACACTTTTATCACCTGCGCAGTGCAACTCACAAGAGGATTCCGAGAGTGAAGTTGCACTTCGGCCAGAAGTAAATCCGGTCTCTTAACGAGTTCAGCTTCACGACTGGCATGCCTTCAAACGCGTACGCCATGCAGGCCAGCGACTCGAACATGTTCTGGCTCAGCGAGTCGCCAATAAACGCGACGCGACGATTCGTCACGCGTTTGCACAGATTCGACCGCGTCACTCTGGGAATACCGCCACCGCACGAACTCGTTCGCGAATCTTTATCCGGATCTCCGTTACCACGCGGCGAAACAGTTTCGCGAAGCTTCCAACGAAGTTTTGCGAAGCCTTTACCCGGCCGGCCGTATTTGCTACACTTGCTGGTTTCGCGCGCGAGAGGGCACGCGTCTGTTTCGTACAGCGGCCACGACGAATCCTCTTCCCACGCGCCGTCGTCCAAGTCGCACAGAGACGACGACGGCGCCGTCGACGGCGACGACGACGACGAGGGCGACGAGGGTGACGGCGACGACGACTGCGACCCGCCGGCGGCGGCAACATTGCTAACTCGGACGTCCATCCCATCAGCCTCATACATGTCCGGACGCCCGATGACGCTCGGGATAATGGGACGAATGACCGTATCCGACGCGGTAGCTTGCGCGACATCGGCCGTATAAATACGACTGTTCTGTATTATATAATTTTCTTGGCCCTGCGTCGTCGGCGGCGCCCTTTGCGGCGTCCATTGCGGCGTCCTTTGCGGCGCTTCTAGCGGCTTTCCCAGCTGCGGCGATTGCTTTGATTCACCTGCTGGCCTCTTAGAAGCTGTTGCTGACTCCTCCTGAGGTGGATTCTGAGTTGTTTCAGAAGATTTCTCCTGATGCGACTCAGAAGGCGCCTCAAGAATCGGTTCGGTCGCCGGTCTCTCCAGGACAGTGCCTCGAGATGTCGACACGCAACGGTCGATTGATGCGGAGAAAAGGAAGAGCGAAAGCAATAACGCTTTAGTACTGGATTCTCTTGAGATTTTGAGACTCCTCTGCATGATTCCACTAGTAATGTGGCGACACTGAGGATTTTGAACGCGACTGAGAGTGTCCTGCGTTAGTTATAGGAGCTGAGTACGGCTCGGACATAGGTGGATGTAACTGTCTGTATTGTAGCGGGAGCGAATGTGAGTGAACCACTACTAAACTACGGGATCGAGTAGAGAAATGGCAGCAGCAGACAGCACACACAGGGCTTGACGCGTGATGCGGGTATATAATAAAGCTGGGAAGCAGATATGTCTGAGCTAAAATGGAGGTGGCGGGGGGAATAGTAGAGTGAACCCAGTTCTGCGACTTCCCGAATCGCTGATGCGCGAAACGAAACTCGACGAAGTGTGTTGGGTGACTTAGGTCTGCTGTTTGAACTCGGTAAGTTACCCGAGCTCAGATTCGTGAACCTCGTTCCCCTGTCGCGAGCTGCCTTGCACCACTGGCTGCCACATGTCTCGGGCCTCAGCTGACGGGCTGATGAGTTGGCGGTCAAGAAGTGTGGGTCTGGGTGTTGAGTTGTAGTGTGGTGTGCAAGTGTGGCGATAGTGGCGATTTGTCGTGAGGAGTTTCAATCAATTACGTGGCTATGGTGGTGACTTTTAGTGTGCAATGCCTTTGCCGAAACCATTTACTACAAATACCTTCTCAGACTGAGTGCGAGAAGCAGGTGTAGTTCATAAGCACTACAGAAGAAGGATTGTGGATATGCCTGTGAGAAGTTTAGAGTTTCCAGTCAGTTCTAAGTACTGTGTCTGGAAATTAGACGGTAGGTTTGTTGATGACGAGAGGAGTGACGAGACCCCCAAGAATGGGAGTTGTGAGGAACGATAGTGCTCAGCGGGTCATAAACCCGAAAGAAATATCATTGTTTCAGCAGATCAAAAACAGAGTGGGAAAGGTATGGTTGAAAATAACCCACAAAGGTAAAGGAAGTCTCTAAATGGATATATTAATGCAGGAATCTCTGCGATTATAGACTCTTCAGTTTGTACCCTTTAATATCGACCTTCTGCTGCACATTAACCTAGTGCACCATTGAATTCCTGAGTGCCCAGTAACAAGACTCACATCGTACGTAGTTCCATGAAGCTGACCAACCACCCAAGAGAGTGTTTCGATACAAGTATGCGACCCAGGGCAGCCGAAGTTCGCTTGATGCAGCTTGCGAAAAAGCGCTGCTGGCAAATATCGCAGCTGTACGGTGTATATGGAATTGTAGCTGGGTATCTTTCACCTATATCGAGTACAGTCTAGTTGTTGCTTGCCAGTTCAGCAGGCTGCCGGATCATACTGCTGGACCACCACCAACCCAAACCCAAACCAATCCCAAGAGCGCGCAGCAGCCACAGCCTTGCTAGCACGCACAGAACAACAATACAGGGCTGTCATACTGTTCTTCGACGTGTGAGGTGCAGTGATGTACGAGAGAGGATGTGAAGGATCCATCAGGACGTCTCACGTGTGTTTTTCCAGAAGAACTGAACGTAAGAAGGACCGTCAGGTATTTTACACATGAAATAATTAGTTCGTGCGGGACGCCCATTCTCCACCTCGTGCTTGTGACGAAATGTCTTCACCTGCTTCCTGAAACCTGGTCCTTCCGTCGACGAAACACTCAAGCTCAATCGTGCACCTGGCCTAGTATCTGTCGTTCATGCTCATATTTCGCACAACATCGTGTCGCGACGTAGTGAAGCGCTCACATCACTAAGAAACATACACTAAAAAAATATCTGTATTATCATTAACATTACTATTATTTCGACGGCTGTCTCCACAATGAAGCCTCTAAGCGTTCACATGCCGTCGGAATACGTAGAAGACGAGGAGCCTTCGCCGGCCTTTCCTCAAACCAGCCTAATCCGTCGAGACCGGGACGACGAGGAATCCCATTATGGTAACAATACCAGGGTAAATCCCCCGGAGCCGCCGACAAAAGCCTGTCTAATCGGCCTAACGATCTTCGTCTGTCTCTTAGTCCTCCTCGCGGTCCTAATCGCCATCTGGGGCTTCAGACCAGTGGCTCCTGCGGCGGGAGACGCGGCGATGCAGGCGGAGGGGAAGCAGGTCGACGCGAGCGCAAATGGCGGCGCAAATGGCGGCGCAACTAGCGGCGGCTCGGGGAGCGCGGGGAGCACGGGGGGAAACGGTCAGGCTCCCCCGCCTGATCCGCCATTGCACGACTACAAGGCGGCTTTGAACCTGTGCCTCGATTTCTTCGACGCACAGAAGAGCGGCGACCTGGGGCTGTGAGTGTTGCTGCTGAATGGTGAGTGCTGTGAGTGTTGCTGCTGAATGGTGAGCGCTGTGAGTGTTGCTGAGTGTTGAGACTGCTCAATGCGGTCAGGCTCCCCCGCCTGATCCACCATTGCACGACTACAAGGCGGCTTTGAGCCTGTGCCTCGATTTCCTCGACGCACAGAAGAGCGGCGACCTGGGGCTGTTTTTGAGTCGACTCAAAAGCGACCTGACACTGTGAGCGTTGCTGAGTCTTGAGCCGTGCTGAAAGGCCTTAACGTCTCACAAAATGTTTCAACGTCTCAAAGGCTTCACCCCTTTGCGTTGACTTCTTAGGCGCGCGGAGGAGCGGCGACCTGGCGCTGTGAGTAAAGAAGGATGCACCGCTGTTAGCCCTGTTCAGTAATGAGACAGGTATGCGTAGCTTTCTAAGTTCCAACTTCCAATCGGCTTCAACAACTTAGAAAGCTTCAATGTCTCAAAAAACTTCTCCGTCTCCTCACATTTCGCATCCCTCCGCGCCTCTGTTCCCCCCCGCCTGCTCACCCGCCTCTCTCCTACACCTCTTACACCCCCCCTTTCCCCCTCTGCAGCACCCCCCACCCCCCCTGGCGCAACAGCTCGCATGTGCAGGATGGGAGCGCAGTGGGGCGAGACCTGGCAGGGGGCTGCTATGGGGATAGTAAAGCAGATGGAGTATCATTGCAAGTTCTCCCTTACATCTCCTCCCTCGCCCTCGCTCTTTTCCCCCCTCTCCCATCCCAACCCCCCCTCCCCTCTCCCTTCCCTGCTCTCTCCCCCCTTCCACAGCACCCCCCACCCCCCCTGGCGCAACAGCTCTCACATGCAAGACGGAAGCGCCGTGGGGCGAGATCTGGCAGGGGGGTACTATGTGGATGGGGGGGGGGTGAAGCAGACGGGGGTGACTGCATTCGCTATGAGCATGCTGGCTTGGAGCATAGTGGAGTTCGAGTGAGTGCTTATGTGGGGTACGGGTGGGTGGGTATATGGGGCGGGCACGGGTGAGTGTTTATATGGGGTACAGCTGACTGTCTTCACTATGAGCATGCTGGCTTGGAGCATAGTGGAGTTCGAGTGAGTGTTTATATGGAGTACGAGGGGTGGGTTATATGAGGTGCGGTTGAGAGGTTATATGAGATACGGGATATAATGGTATGGTATGGTATGGTATGGCATGGCATGGTATGGTATGGTATGGTATGGTATGGTATGGTATGGTATGGTATGGTATGGTATACCAGTGCCCAACCATCCCCCACTCCCCCTCTCCCTCTCCTAGTCCTGAGCTCGAGACCACAGGCTTGAAGCAGCGGGCAGTGGACCTGCTCAAATGGGGAGTGGACTGGCTGCTCATGGCGGAAATGGGCCGGGGCGGTGTCGTGGCATAACCACTTCCTCTTCCCCTCCCTCCCCGCCCCCCTTCTTCTCTTTCCCCCTTCCAGTCCCGAGCTCGAGTCTTCTGGGTTGAAGCAGCGGGCAGTAGACCTGCTCAAATGGGGAGTGGACTGGCTGCTCATGGTGGACCTGGGCCGGGGCTGTGCCGGGCCTCACTTCACCCTCTCTGTATTCCCCCCTTTCCCTCCGGTCTAGTCCTGAGCTTGAAACCACAGGGTTGAAGCAGCGAGCAGTGGACCTACTCAAATGGGGAGTGGACTGGCTGCTCATGGCGGATCTGGGCCGGGGCTGTGTTGTGGCGCAAGTGGGTGACTCTGCCGCCCAGAATTCGTGCTGGCAGCGGCCAGAGGACGACTCCACCGCCCGGCCCGTGTACACTGTGGTGGGCGCGAACGGGCCGGGGGCGGCGGTGCTGGCTGACATGTCAGCTGCCTTTGCTGCTGGTGAGATGCCTTTGCTGCTGGTGAGGTGCCTTGGCTGTTGGTGAGATGCCTTGGGTGTGGGTGAGGTGAGATAGTGTGTGTGAGGTAAAGTCCCAGGATGAGTCTATCCTTGAGTGTGGGCTTGAGGTATGCAGTATGCCTGATTTGGGGGGAGGAGGGGCTGCGAGCAGCAGTTCTGACTGACATGTCGGCCGCCTTTGCTGCTGGTGAGGTGCCTTGGCTGCTGGTGAGAAAGTGTGTGTGAGGTAAAGTCCCAGAATGAGTCTATCCTTGAGTGCGTGCTTGAGGTATGCAGTATGCCTGCTTTGGGGGGAGGAGGGGCCGGGGGTGGCGGTTTTAGCTGACATGGCTGCTGCCTTTGCTGCTGGTGAGATGAGATGGTGATTGTGTGCAGGAGAGTGTGTGTGTGAGATAGCGTATGTGAGATTGAGGCCTGTGTACACTTTGGTGGGCGCGAACGGGCCGGGGGCGGCGGTTCTGGCTGACATGGCTGCTGCCTTTGCTGCTGGTGAGATATTTTGTGCGCGCGGGAGTGTGTGTGCGAGTTAACGAATCCCAGATTGAGTGGCAGAACGAGTCTGTCCTTCCAGCAGAGAGAGGTGTGTGTTCATGAGGTGGTTTAGGTTGTGGCAGTTTGGCAGCACTCAGTCCGTTGTGAGGCTTAGGAGGCGAGGCGCCACTGATGCCTTGGCTAGTCACAACGGAGGCCCAGCGCCGGGTGCGGCAGTTCTGGTGTGGCTGACACCACTGATGCCTTGGCTGCTGGTGAGATGAGAATCATGAGATTCCTTGGCCGCATACGCCTCCTTGCTGCGGACGGAATCACAGAGCACTCCCCACACTTCCACTCCTCATATACTCCCACCCCCCTTCTCCCCCCCTTCTCCCCCTCTTCTCCCCCTCTTCTAAAGCCGCCTCGCATGTACTCGACGAGTTTAACCCCGGATATGCCGCCTTGCTGCGGGGCAACGCCGCCATTCCCAACACCCGCTTCTTTCCCCCTCTGTGACCCCACCACTTTCGCCCCTCGCCCCCTTCTCCCCACCAACACCCCAGCCGCACATGTGTTTGGCGAGTTTAGCCCCGGATACGCCGCCTTGCTGCGGGACCACACCACCATTCCCAACTCCTGCTACTTCCCCCTCTGTGCCCCCACTTCCATTCCATCCCTCGCCCTCCCCTCCTTCCAAACCAGCCTCACATGTGTTTGGCGAGTTTAACCAAGGATACGGTGCCTCGCTGAGGGACCATGCCAAACACACTGCACACCCACCATTTCCGCTCCTTCCCCTCCCCTAACACCCCAGCCTTACACGTGTTGCGCCTCACCCTCCTCCCAACACCCCAGCCTCGCATGTGTTTGGCGAGTTTGACCCCGGATACGCCGCCTCACTGAGAGACCATGCCACCATGCTCTTTGAGCTCGCCACCACCGCCACCTCCACTGATGAGTGAGTGAGCTTCTGGCTTGTATCTCCCGCCTATGCCTATCTTTCACCCCATCACCCCACTGTCCCCTCTAGCCATGCACCACCCCCACCATGCTCTGCGTCTCTGCCTCTGTTCACCACCCCCTCTATTCTCGCCCAACATGCTGTTGCAATCCACCCCTATGTGCGTGCTACCCACAGCAGCACTAAGCCCCGCCAGCCTCTAGGTACTCTCCCCTACCAGCCACCCCCATCCTCCTCGCCTGAATTCCACCATGAGCTGCACAGGGCGGCATCAGGGTTGAAGTCCAATGCCGTTGCATTCCTCCAACGTGTCGCAATCACCCCTGTGTCCATGCAACCCAACCCCCACCAGCATCACTCCTCCCGGGACTCTCCTTTACCAGCCAACCCCATCCCCCTCGCCTGAATTCCACAATGAGCTGCACAGGGCGGCGGCAGGTTGTTTTTGAGAATTCTAAAAAACGAGCTGAACGCTCATGCTTTCGCTCAAGGCTCGCGAGTCACACCTCTTCCTCATGCCGTTCCATTCCTCTCCCATGTCTGGACACTCGCTACCACACCAGCACGGCTCTTCCAGGGACTCTCCCGTACCAGCCTCCCCCATCCTCCTTGCCTGAATTTCACGATGAGCTGCTCTGGGCGGCGGCTTGGCTGTGGCGCACCACCATGTCTGACCCCCTGCACCAATTCCTGCTCAAGGTGACTTGTCTTGCCACCTGGTGGGTGCCTCCTGTCCCAACTTGCTACCGGCTTGGCTATGGCGCACCACCATGTCTGACCCCCTGCACCAATACCTGCTCAAGGTGACTTGTCTTGCCACCTGGTGGGTGCCTCCTGTCCCAACTTGCTACCGGCTTGGCTATGGCGCACCACCATGTCTGACCCCCTGCACCAATACCTGCTCATGGTGACTTGTCTTGCCACCTGGTGGGTGCCTCCTGTCCCAACTTGCTACCGGCTTGGCTATGGCGCACCACCATGTCTGACCCCCTGCACCAATACCTACTCAAGGTGAGTTACCTTCCCTCCCCAACTGGTGGGTGCGACGTGCCTACCTTCCCTACTTGCTAGCTACCAGCATGGCTATGGCGCACCACCATGTCTGACCCCCTGCACCAATACCTACTCAAGGTGAGTTACCTTCCCTCCCCAACTGGTGGGTGCGACGTGCCTACCTTCCCTACTTGCTAGCTACCAGCATGGCTATGGCGCACCACCATGTCTGACCCCCTGCACCAATACCTACTCAAGGTGAGTTACCTTCCCTCCCCAACTGGTGGGTGCGACGTGCCTACCTTCCCTACTTGCTAGCTACCAGCATGGCTATGGCGCACCACCATGTCTGACCCCCTGCACCAATACCTACTCAAGGTGAGTTACCTTCCCTCCCCAACTGGTGGGTGCGACGTGCCTACCTTCCCTACTTGCTAGCTACCAGCATGGCTATGGCGCACCACCATGTCTGACCCCCTGCACCAATACCTACCCAAGGTGAGTTACCTTCCCTCCCCAACTGGTGGGTGCGACGTGCC